CAGATGAGGCCGGTTCTGTGGTTCAACTGGTGAGCTATTGTGACCTTTGTATTCCTTCTCCCTGTTTGAATCTGGCACAAAAGGCCTAACGGGCCAGGCCCTGAGTGCGCTCCCTGGCAGGGCCCTCAGATGGCCCTCCTTTATGGCTGCCGGAACAGACCAGTTGGGTTGGGTTGGGTCTCTCTTGTCCTGTGTGTTATTTGGAGACCCTCACGCCGGATCCCCACACCTACCCAGCGCCAGTTTTCCAGCCAACGCTTCACACTGCCATGGGTAGGCCCTGCCAATAAGTAGCATGGAAGGAGCCCCTTGTATTCTCCTACTCCCCCCCAGTGGTACCTTAACAAGGATGGCAAGTTCTGCCAATTAATAAAACTTGAAAGGGAAAAGCACTGAATCAGTCCTCAAGGTAGCAGGGCAGAAGTAGGGAATTCAAAGAGGACATCTTCCAGATGGACAGGAATCAGGCCGAGTTTTAGTTTTCTTCTGCCCAAACCACTATGAAGAGGAAAAGCCACTGGAACAGAGCTTCACATGCTTTCAGCCAGAGGCCAAGATGAGTGCCCAGCTCGCTACTCCTGAGAGCAACACAAGGTGGGCATCCATCAGGGGGAGACTAAGAAGAAATGAGGCTTGGAGGCCAAAGTGTTTTGCTTGCTGGGAAAAAGTGAGAGTGAGTCTTGAATACCTCCTTCTGGAACATTAAAATATGAACTGCAGTACACATTCCACAGGATGTACCAGATAAGATTTTACCCTACCTCTGTGGCTGTACATATCCTACCGACACCAGCATGATGACAAACCAGCAGTCACACCATGCACAGTCTGAAAACATTACTTCCTCTCCCCCCTTGGAAACCAGATTACTTTTTCTTTCTTTTTTCCTTGCTCCCTCCCTCCAGCTCTGGAGGAAACGTGGATTCCAGTGAGGCCATTCTGTGTTGGTGGGTGTTTGCTTTCTCGGCTCCACTCAGGATGAATGCAAGTTTGCTGATCTGCTGCACCATCAGGATTTGCTGGGATGAGACACTTACAGGGCTTGCTAAAATAACCCCTGGAAATTGAGAGGATTTTTTCTTCCCCTTTGTTTCATGGAGTGCTGGAGTTCTGGGGGGCAAGCTTGAAGCCAGGATGGAGGGATGATTGGTTAATATTCTCAAAATTCCAGGACTAGTTTGAGCTTCACCACACTGGCTTGAAGTTTCTCTCTATGAGTGCAACTGTAATGAGAAGAAGGAATAACCTTGAGGAACAGGAGGAAGAGCCGCAACCAAGACAGCAGTCAGATAAAGAAAATCTAGGACTGGGATAGAAATGTAATTCTGAGACAGGAACCTCCCTAGTTCTCACAAAGATAAAGGGAAGGAGGGGGAAGCGCATTCAGACTTGCAAGATTCTGTTACCATAACTTGATAATAAAAGTAGTATAGCAGTCTAGTCTACCTTGCAGGGCTGACAGTAGCACACATGCCAAATAGGTTTTAGATCTGGAGAGGGTGGGGATGAAGTGGGCCAATCCTGGGAAGGATTGAAAGAATGTTAGGAATTATTTTCCAATAGAACAAATAATGGTGTGGATTAAAATCTTTTGCTGACCAAGGCCTACAAACTCATGTATTTCAATGGATTGCTAGAGGGCATCTGCAGGGCATAAAAGGACTAGACTCCTTGTCAGAAGTTTCAGCATTCACTTTTCAGACTTCTTTCCAGGCCTGGCTCATGGTGATTCATGCCTTAGCTACCTCCCATCTGGATTACTGTAACATGCTCTACATGGGGCTGCCCTTGAAGAGCATTCAGAAACTGCAGCTGATCCAGAAGGCAATGGTGGGGGCAGTTTTTGGTGTTTTTGTTACACCCATATAACAATGCTGTTTTGTGAGCTGCTCAAGCCTCCAGTGGGCTTCCAGGTGTGAGTCAAGGTGCTGGTAGTCGCCTATCAAGCCCTCCAAGGCATTGGGCCTGGCTCGTTGAGGGACTGCCTGTCTCCCATTGTTTCTGCTCCCCCCACCAGGTCCAGCTGGGAAGGCACACATGGGGTGCCTTTCATTGAGCAATGTCATCTTGTGGGATCCCAAGTCATGCCTTCTCTGTGGCAGTGCCTGCCCTATGGAACAGCATCCCCCAGAGATTCAGATGGCTCTGTCTCTGTTAGCCTTTCACCTGGCTGTTCTCCCAGGCATTTGGGCCAGGAAGTTAGATGAGTTCTGCTGGTTAATGTTGCTTTATGAGGTGGATTTGTTGTTTGTGACCCTGGGAATTATGAGTGGTTTGTTAAATTCTTTTTAATTCTTGTATGCCACCTAGAGTCTTTGTGAAATTGGTGGTCATATAAATGGTTTAAATAAACCAATCTGTCAGTTCTATGGTATCACAGACATCATCTTGACTTTTTTTTTTTTAACCCCTACCCCCTATGGACGCCCCTGATCTCCAGACTGGGATCTCACTGGTGGAAGGTTACAGAGAACCACACTGATCAGCTGTGAACCTCTTCTGTCTGATGCTCTTTGGTCCCATGGCTCTTCATGGATGATACAACATCAGAAAGGAATGCCCACTTAAAGCAAGGACAGAGGAAGAATGCTACCGTTGAACTCAGTTATAGTCTGTTTTTTTTTCCTAAAGCCATAAAGGTAGAAAAACACCTTCACCAGTTTCTTTTATTTGTTCAAAACCTGTCCTGGCTCATTTAGATGCTCTCATCTACACCAATTCATTTTGAGGCTCCCAAATGACTGTTCTTCAATCCTTTTAGCCTGGAGAAATGTGACTGAAAGGACTTCCTTTCTTCTGAAGATCCACAGTGATTAAAGTCCTGGAGGACTTTAGGAGTCCTTTAGGAGTGCCTCCTAAAGCCAGCAACCCTTCTTGATAGGAAGCTGATGAAATTGCTACTCATTGTTTATGTGATTTTTGGAATAATGAATTTTGAATATATTTTGTTATCAAATCAATAACTGAACAATGTACAATTAGTTTATGATCTTAAAATAAGATTAACGGAACAGAAGAAATTGTCTTGGAACTGCATATAAAGTTTAATGAGGGTTGGTTTTTTGTTGTTGTTGTTCAGTCATTAAGTCGTGTCCAACTCTTTGTGATCCCATGAACCATATTGCGCCAGGCCTATTGGAAACACAACTCATAGCGATTCGGTCTTCTCCCATTCAATTAATTAATTAATTAATTAATTAATCAATCATATATGTATAGCCACCCATCTCACACAAGGTGACTCTGGGCAGTGTACAGTAAAACCAATGATTTACTCATATTATGAAACCAACCAAAACAATTAAGTTAATCATTAAAACTAAGATTACGAGAGGGTTAAAATCGGAATGTTATGTGTGATGTAGCCACTGCGCCAGCTGCCTGCAGATCCCCAGTCCTGATGAAAAAGACATATTTTAAGAGCTTTCCAGAAGGTCATAAGGGTTGGGGCAAACCTCACCCCAGTGGGAATGATGTTCCAAAGGGTGGATGCTTCAGCAGCAAAGCACCGCCCCCCCCGGTCTCATCAGATGGAATTCCTTAGCAGATGGGGCCTGTAACATGCCTCTCCTGCCAGACCTGATGGGTTGGCCAGACATAATCAGGGAGAGCTGGTCCCTCAGATGACCCGGCCCCTTGTCATGAAGGGCTTTAAAGGTCAAAACCAGCACCTTGATTTGGACCTGGAAGCAAACTGGTAATTTGTACTTGTATTTTGAGCTGACATCAACAGGATTGTTAATATGGCTCATAATCAACTGCTATTTATTAAGGATAGATATGATCTTCTTGGCTGTCACTCCAAGATCTGGAATCAATTGAGATCCCAAGAATTATAGAGTTGGGGGGAATGGGTCTTATGCTCCCTCCCTCTTGTTCTCTTGCTTTCTCCTCCTGCCCCACTTTGCACTTGTTCTTCAGCCCTGCCCAATTCCAGCTAAAGCAATCCTGCCATGGGATGGAGAGAGAGATCTGGCAGCGCTCATCTAGATGTCCACTTCCACTGCTGGAGGAGGTCCCAGAGCAGTTGATCTGGATGCGGATGGTGCCAGGTCACGGTGGAATAGGGAGAATAGCTGTTGCATTGCCATTCTGTAAAATTGAATTGCTTAATCATTTCAACTCAAGTCTGTCTAGAGCTTTTTGAATGGCCTCCCTTCATCCACCGCTTCCAGCTTGCATCACCTGTAGATTTGTTAAGTCCCCCCAACAACCAAGTCGTGAGAAAGATGTTTATCAGCGCAGAGCCCAGTCTCCATCTGGCACCGCTTTCCAAGCTGACATGGAGCCACTTACAAGTGCTGTCTGGGTGTGCTCATTTAGCTAATTGTGAACCCACCTAACAGTACTTTGATATAGTCCATATTTCACCATTTTACGGAAGACTTCATGTGTTACGTTGTTGAAAGCTTTGCTGAACTCAGGATATACTAGGTTCTTTCCCCAATTTATTAAGCTCCTTAACTCTGTCAAAAAAGGTGACAAAGTCAAGTTGGCATGACTTGTGACCAATCCATGCTCGCTTTCGTTCATTGTTGCTAACCTATCCCATTGCTCAGAACATACTATTGAATAATCTGCTTGAAGGCCTTGCCCTGTAAGGATATCAAGGTGACAGGGCTAAAACTTCCCAGGTCCTCCTCCTTCCTGTTGTTGAAGATGAGGACATTTGTTCTTCTTTAGTCCTGGATCATACCAGATCTTTAAATTTCTCAAAGATTAAGCTTCCAGATCTGGGATTACCCAGTTCCTTCAGTAGTTAGGCTGGAATTGATTATTCATTTCAATTAGCTAAGTGTTCTTTTACCCTCTCCTTGTCTACCCAGAGCTGCAGCTCCTCCTTCTGAAAGACAGATGCAAAAGGGGAGATAAGTTCTGCTTCTCACCACAGCCTGTTAGCAGTTCACCCCTTCTTTTTCACAACTCATGTACA